TTGAAGCCATTGTGAACGAGATAGGGGCAGATAGAGTTGGAATAAGACTATCTCCATTTGCCGAGTTCAACGATGCGAAAGACACTAATCCGGAAGAGCTAGGGCTTTACATGGCGAAATCCTTGAACAAGTATGGGATCCTCTACTGCCACATGGTCGAGCCAAGGATGACGATGACTCTAGATGTAAGCAAGACCGACCTTAGTCTTGTGCCAATGAGGAAGGCTTTCAAAGGTACCTTCATTGTTGCGGGAGGTTACACCAGAGATGACGGGAACAAAGCAGTTGCTGAAAATCACGCTGATCTCATTGCTTATGGACGTTTGTTCTTGGCTAATCCGGATTTACCAAAGAGATTTGAGCTTGATGCGCCTCTAAATAAGTATAATAGAAACACATTTTATACACCAGATCCTATCATCGGTTACACTGATTACCCATTTCTCACGAACACTATCTAAGTACTTGATAGTTGGTGCGTATAATGTGTAAGGTCCTTGAGGGAGGATTTATTTTAAATTGTACTTTTTTTCGTTTTATAAAATTATTCTATTGTAAGATTTATATTTCATTATGGCTTTCAGTTAAAAATCAATAAAGAGTGTCGTTTTATCATTTTTATGACGAGAAATGTGGCTTAATGAATTTCATGAAATCCATAATTCTCAACAACAACATCCAGCATGACACACAAGACCCCTTTTACGTCACCTCATGCACAACTAGACTCGCACTGTCGCACACTCCCAAATGTCCGACCTTTCTACACCGTCAAGGCGCGATCCAATCCGACTTCCCTCAGAGCCATGGCGGCGCTTGGCTCGGGCTGACTATATTTGATAAATTATAATAACGATGTTCGATTCGAGGGACGAACTCGAAAAGATCTGAAAATGGCACCCTAAATACGGAAGACATGAGCAAAGCGCGGTGCACGTTGGGGCCCAAATACGGCTCTCTTCCTGAGGAAGTGGCGCCGCACCATCAAGCGGCTCGGATCACCGTCAGGGCGTCTCCCCATTGGAAGCGACGCCATGCATTCGCTTGCGTACATAGGCGCCGTTGAGGCTGCCTAGTCGGCTCGGCTCGCCCTGCCCTAAATGCGCGTACTAGACATCGACGGCGGCTTCACGGCTCGCCAACAGTTCGAAGAAGCGGCTTCGAACATAAGAGCCGCTATGCAAACTTATTTGCGGAAATAATATTTTACAGAAAAATTATTCAGTTTCGTCGGGTCGGCTTTCTCGTTAGCCGCCAATTCATCGAGAAGCGTGTA